TGTCTAGTTTATTGCTATGGATAATATTATCTTTATTGCAGCCGTTTATTCTGTATGCCTTTCTCTTTGCCATGTAGATGGCGTGATAAGGATATTGGAAGATTTTAAATGAGTTTTCTACATATTTTTCTTCTTTGGGTAGGTATAGAGAACTGTAGAAACTTTATGCTGTTATAGAGAGCTGTAGAAACCTATAATTATACTAGATTTAATCTTATTACAGTCCACGTTTTATATTTATATATGCTCTGTTTCTGATACTGAGCACTTTAACCTATATATATTGCATATTATAAAACTATATTTCTTTATATATATATATATATATATATATATATATATGAAGAAATATTGTTTTAGGTAATGCTATATTTATGGGATAAAGTTCTCAATAGCAGAGATAGAGCGTATGGAAATATAAATATAAAAGTGAACATTGAAGTCAACACCCAGAGGCGACAGGCTGTTTCATACTGGACGCAATCGTCAGGCCGCGAATACTGGATTTTTCCTCGGCTATGTATGGCTTAGGGGTGCATTGTGGGTAATCTATTCTGGCGGTTATTTTTGTGGGAGTGGTTGTTTGTTTATTTATTTATTTAAATGTTTGGGTTAATTTATTTCTCTTGTTTTTCATTTTAACTTCGTATTATTTATTCTTTTCGCTTTTTAATGTTTTATTAACGTTGCAAAAATTTCGGGTGGGATTTGCTTAGGTCGCTTATTTAATAGTTTTTGTTTTTGGTCTGGGAAGATAATTAAAGCTATTTATTTGTCCAATGTTTAGATTGCTTGCCGTAGTCTATTCTGTTATTTTTGCAGGTGAACAGTTTTTAATTTATTTATTTGGATTTTTTTTCTTGCGTTTGCTTATTTATGCTTATTTTTATTAGTTCTAACGTTATTTTAGACAGTACTAAACAAAACAATAAGCTAAAACCTGAAGGAGTAATTTACTTCATCGCCTGTAATATTTGTCAAACAAATACATAGATGAAACCCCAAATAATCTAAATAAAAGATTATATGAACACAAAAGGGACATGTGCGCATGTATAATTCTGCCAACATAATAAATTTAGTTCGATAACATAACAAATTTCAGTCTCTCTGTGGATGATAATATGTATATATATATATATATATATATATATATATATATATACATATATATATATATATATATATATATATGAAATGCAGGATGTATGTGTGTGTGTGTGTGTGTGTAACGAATGCACGGTCGCAATTTTCGACGGATCTGCACCAAAATTTATATGCACGTGCTACAAGTTAGTGTGAAGTCCAAGACTGACTTTGCATTTCCCAACTCCCATCAATAGTGGATATAATCGATTTTTTCATGCTTCTACGGCATTTTTCATGTTTCCGGTCATTTTGTACTGGCCAGAGTAAGAACCTATAGCTGGCTGCCAAGAATAGGCAGAGTTATTCTATTGGCCAGCGTGAGAACCAACAACTGTTAACGAATGTTAACTAGCATGCTAGCATGCAAAAAAATCGATAGCTGCATTCGTCACAAGTGGGAAAAATTTAAATCTGCATGGCACTTTACTCCAATTAACTCATTCGCTTGCTTAAACTCAACGTTGATTCTGATTCCGCAGAACTGGGTTGGGTGTGAAAAAGTATTTGTTGTTAACATTCTTTTTTCATTCGATTTTTCCAGTTACGAGTCTTTTTTTAAAGCTGATCGTTTTGTGTTCATTTTGTTTAGTTCTTTTTTCGTAACAGATTTAATGTTTAGTATAGAGCTTAGAAAAAATTCGCAGTGTGAGATAGGTAAGAAGTAAGGCATGTAGCAACATCAGCACGGCAAAGGGCACTCCTTTAAAAGGCAAGGAAGGGCAAAAATATTTTAAGTCAAGTGATAGCGATTGCTGTATGAGTTCGTACGATTTTTTGAAACAAGCACGGGCAACACCGGGCCATGCTGCTATATATATATATATATATATATATATATATATATATATATATATATATATATATATATATATATATATATATATAATGTATTTCTTTCTTTGTGGTCTTACGCAATCATTCTACATATGATGCCATTTATGCAGTAGCTTTCTATGAGAAAAATAAATATTCCATTCATATATGTTCAATGCATTTATATAAAAACAATGAGTTTCATTGACTTCAGAATCAATTAATTTAGGTTATAGACGGTTTTCCCTTATTTGGCCATGAATGGTAATATTAACAGTTTCCTCGTCAGGAAAAATTTGGTATTCATTGGCCGAGCAGCCAGAGCTATCATTGTTACTTGACCACTGACAATACCTTCCAAATTCTGTCCGTTTCATTATTAAAATATATTGTAACGAATTACAAAGGGAAAAATTAATGACAAGGTGAAAAATTTTACGTGAAGTTGTTTAGAATTACATCGGACTATGTTTCGCTTTATGTAAATACATATGTACACAAAGTAGAGGGGGGATATATAAAAACATAAACGTTGGTTATAACCATGCAAAAATACGAAACGTTGAAATCTTTTTTTATTTTGTTATAAAATATATAACTATATATTTTTATGTTAAAAAAAATTAAATTGAAAAGTTTAAAATTCCAGGTCCCATCATTTTCAACGTTTCCTACCCGGTTAATTATAAGCAATTTTTGCGTTTTTATATTTCCCCATTCTTTTCCTGCATATTAAAAATCCTAATCCGTATTTCTCGAAGAGTGAATGCATTACTATATATATATATATATATATATATATATATATATATATATATACCCAAGAATAGGATTGGTGAATACGGAATAAATTCCAATAACCAACAAATACTATTCTTTAAAAAGTGCTCAATACAGAGTAGAGCAAATATAATCATTTATTCGAAAATTATAACATAAGAATGTTATAAAATTTTGTTATAATTTTCGAATAAATGATATATATATATATATATATATATATATATATATATATATATATATATATAGTATATTTCTCTTGATGTAAATACACACACATATATACATATATATATATATATATATATATATATATATATATATATATATATATAGATAGATAGATAGATAGATAGATAGATAGATAGATGGAGGGAGAGAGAGGGAGGGAGAGAGAGAGGGAGAGAGAGAGAGAGAGAATGTAAACTGTACCCTTTGTGAGCTAGTGTGCAAATAGTCCAAACTATACAGTTTGTTTTTCATGGTCAAATTACTTGAATGTTTTGGGTAGCACTTTCTACCTTTGAATTCTGGGATGAAGTATTTATTTTTTGTTTGTTTTTTTCTATATATTGTTACTTTTTTTTCTCACAACTTTAACGGTTGACTGCACTCCAACAGATATACGCCTCCTCTGAAGATACTTCTTTGTTTATATTTCACGCTACAGTACTTGCTTTAATGGTTGGAAAGTATGTCTCCTTTGTGATAAAACACCAACAGTAAGATGAATAAAAGACTAGTAATAAATGAATAGTTTTACCAACAAATTCTTGAACTTGTTTATAATTTCTTAAAAATTATCTCCAACTGACACACACATATATAATATTGGGAAAATTTTGAATTAGTATTCCCTGCCAGATTCCAGAATTTATTCCAGTCATAGAACAACGCTGATAATTATTCAATGACGAATTTCATCAAAAGATCATTCATTTTTTGTTGCATATTTTTTGTTTACTTTGTGATCTCTCGCATTGAACATTGCTGAGTATATTTAACCGATACTCGACCAGCTTTTAAACGAGCATCCTACTTAAAAAATATTTGTTCCTGATGAAGAATTTCGAGGGTTTCGCTAGCAGATATACCGAGCTTCGAGTTAGGCTGCTCAAATTTTTCAGCCATAGTAAAGTTCGTAGAGCCGTTTCAACACAATGTTACAAATCTATATTGCACGAAGTCTATTTGAAGACTCACACAGTAGTTTGGTTAGCAGTGTATAAGTATACATGTCTAAGTGTAAGTATATGAACTTTCCGATAGTACTTCGTATGTGCGTGTATGCCTGTGTGTGTATGTGCGTGTGCGCTCGCTTGTGCGTCTGTGGTGAAAGAGAGAGACGGCATGAATATGTGTCTCAATGCAGTTGTGGAATGATAATTATTTATAATCATTATAATGTTTTAACATTAACATTGCAGACTATGCAACATGCTTCTCTTTCATGCAAATTTTAAATAAAATGCTTATTTTTATGGTTATCCATTTTTGTTCAATTTGTTTTTTCATTTAAAATTATACACAAATTTCACGTCTTGTTGATTACTGGTAATTAACAATTTTGTTAATTATTGCTAATTAACAGTTTTTCGTAAATTATCCATCAGTGAATATTTACATATTTGTCTTTTATTCTGGAAAGACAAAAAACAAAAGAAATATTTAATAATCATTTGAATAAAACTTGAGTTTTTAACTTTGAAAAGTTAAAAGGAAAAAAAGAAAATATAAATCCCTCTTGGTGATGTGGGACCAGCGAACTGGGATTTTCCTTATCAGCAAAGATCGTCCTCGTGATATAAAATTAAGATTAAGGAAATCCTAGTCATCAAATGAAACGCCGTTACTCCGTGTCTCAAATGTGCACAGTGAATGTCTCCGAGGGGAAACTAAGTATCGGTCGTTCGAACTCGAGTCGATTTAGTTTGACAGCTATGCCACAGTGCGCACGCGCCGCGGACGTTGGAAGCTGTTTCAGCGAAGACAAGACATGTCCGCTGTCACATTGCGTCAGCTATGTTAGCGAATATTATCCTTGCTCTAAAATTGCCTTCACATCATTTCTTACAAGACTGAAACGGTGCCAGACTAAAAGTTTGTTTCTTTTACAACTCTCTCTCTCTCTCTCTCTCTCTCTCTCTCTCTCTCTCTCTCTCTCTCTCTCTAATGCATAGATTAGCTTACTTTATTCTTTGTTTGTTTCGAATGCCTGACAGACAGTTTGCTTTTCACTTTCTTTCTAGCTATCTGGCTTACGGCGATATCACTTTGAAACATTGGTTCTCGTGCGATCACCGAAGTTAAGTAACATCGAGTCTGGTCAATACTTAAATGGGTAAGCTTAGGAATACCAGGTGCTGTAAGATTGGATGTGCGGGTGGTGTGATGGATAACATTTCGGAATTGTAAATTGGAGAGCCGAGTTCCAATTCCAGTCAGGTTCGTTATATTCACTTCCGAGTAAATACCAATGGGAAAGGTATGAATCCTTGTCTTCTCCCCACGAGCTATGGGACATGTATCAGTAAATCATTATTATCTCCCAAAAAATCTTACTATCTTAAATATTTTCTGGCTTTAAATAACACATAAAAGGTTGATAAGCCGTAAAAATAAATCAACCAATCAAGTGAAATTTCCAGCTATCTACAAAGTACACACACACATACACACACACACACACACACACATACACACACACACACACACAAAAATATACTTATGGGTATGTCTAGATCTACGGTAATATATATATATATATATATATATATATATATATATATATTACCGTAGATCTAGACATACCCATAATATATTTTTAATCCTGCCTATTCTTCGTCCCTTTAACTTCCGAAAAGAAGTAACGATTTGTTTTTAAATGTCTTCATTTTTTTCGCTTGTTTAAAAAATAACTATCTCTGTTTACATCTAGCTGTGTTCGTATTTATGTTTACACACACACACACACACACATACATACATACATATATATATATATATATATATATATATATATATATATATATATATATATATATATCATCCTGTTACTATCTAAATAGTTACTCATCTATTTCACTCTTTACATCTATCTCTCACTATCTATCTCAGTCTATTTATATGTCTATCTATCACAGTTTATGCATATCTATCTATCTGTATATCTGCCTATCTATCTATCTAGCTATCTATCTATCTATCTATCTGTATATCTGCCTATCTATCTATCTACCTATCTATCTGTATATCTCCCTATCTATCTCATTCTATTCATATCTATCTATCTATCTATCTATCTATCTATCTATCTATCTATCTATCTATATCTATCTATCTATCTCTTGGTCTGTTTATATGTATCTAGATAGCTAGCTCAGTCTATTCACATTTATCTCATTCTTTTTATATCAATTTATCTTTTTCGTTTTGCATTTTTTCCACCTTTCCACGCAAATACAAATTTTCCTTTTCTATTTCTCTCTATCTCTCACACACACACACAGAGAGAGAGAGAGAGAGAGACCCGTTATTTTTCTCCTTTTCTATCTTTGCCTCTTTACCCTCCAAGCAACCCTCATACATTTATCCCCCACCTGTCTTCTGTTTCGTTCTCTTTTTTTTAAGTCACTCCTATTATTATTTGAGAGCATAATGAATTATTCATAATCACAATAAGAACTGACGACTCCGATTGGATCAGTGTGGAAAAAAACACGGACTTGGCAGTACTTTAATTGGACATCCGACATTTTTAATTTTTTTACTTTTGTGCTTTTAAAGCAGAATTTTTTACTGCCTTTATTATTGCTATTGTAATTGCTGCTGCTGCTGCTGCTGCTACTGCTAGCAAAATTAATATTATTAATATTAATAGTAGTAATTACTATTTTGCTGTTAATATTGATATTTGAAGAGTGCAAAATTTCTTTTCCCAGTTCGCAGTCTTCTTAGTCGTAGCAATAATAATTACTGCTTTCATTACAAACCCTACGGCTGATGGTAATGGAATCATTCGTGACGTTGGTTTTCATTATTGCATCCGATAAAACTATATCACAGATAGGATAACAATCGAAGTATTTCAAAATTGTTATACACTTTAATGGTTATATATGGTAACATGTAAAATAGGACATCAATCCAGTACGCCAAAATTGTTATTCACTTGTTGTTGTTGTTGTTGTTGTTGTTTGGGCGATTATGCTCCACATCCTTTTTTCCCAAAAGGAACTAAATAGTTCGTGATCTCATCTTGTCAAAACCTCCTCTCTGACAGTGCTCGCATCACCTACAGCAACAGGCATCAAGAGTACCTCTGTTTTGTCTTTGAAGACAAAGATTTGGCGCACTGTCCAGATATTGCACAGTTTCCGCACAAAATTGAAGTGTCACAGAAAGTAAACAAAGGTTGAAGACTGTTCATTGACAGCAGCAAGCGATCACTGAAAAGTGTCCTGCTGCACAATAGCAACCAATTTGCCTCTGTACCCCACGTTCACTCGACTATATTGAAGGAAAAATATGAATCAGTGAAGTATGTGCTGGAGAAAATTCATTATGATTAGCATGGGTGATTTATTTGATTTCACCTGAAGATGGTGAACTCTTTGTTGGGACAACAGTTTGAGTTTCTGTGCATCTGGGGTAGTAGGGACACTGCTCAGCATTACACGTAAAAGTTCGGGAGGAATTGATGCCTTGGAGAGCAATGAACATCAATAAGCCCTGATGGACAGAGACAGGATAATTTTTCACCGCTGCACATCAAGCTCGTCTTGATCAAGCAGTTCACCAAAGCTCTGGACAAAGATGGTGGCTGCTTCACTTACTTGTGCCAGGATTGACGTTGGAGAAGTTGAAAGCTGGCTAATTTGATGGTCCTCAAATCCGTCATCCAGAGTTTGAAAAATCATTGTGCGAAGTGGACCTGGAAGCATGGAAAACTTTTGTTCTGGTCGTGAAGAACTTTCTTGTCAACAACAAGGTCAGGAACTACTCAGAAATTGTCAACAATATACTGACTGCTTTCAGAAACCTCAGATGCAACATAAGCATCAAAATGCATTATTTATCCTCACATATGGATCGGTCTCCTGAGAATCTGAGAACAATGAGAGACGAACAGAGAGGGGTTCCATCAGGATATGAAAGATATGGAGACCAAGTATCAGTGATGCTGGAATGCAGTCATAATGGCTGATTACTGCTGGATTTTTAAGAGACACCCCTGCCGCTGATCATTCTAAGGTTTCGAGTAAACGGAATATCAAGCCCTGAATTTTGAACAATGATGACGTAAAATTCAATTTGTATGTACTTACAATTATCAATGTATACTATTTAATTTATTGTAATCGATGTTTGTAACATTTAATTAATAAATTGTGTTAGAAAATAATTTTTCGTAAAAACTTATTCCGTATGAGAAATATTAACAAAATTCAGTCAGTAATGTCACAAAAATGTAATCGATTGAGTCGGAAGATCGGAATTTAAAGACTCAACTCAGCACAAAAATGAGAAAAACGGATGTCATTTTCAGATCCAGTGGTGAAATATTGTCCTAAAAATCATTTGGAAAAACAGACAAATTTTTTTGCTGTTTCTCAGTGAAAGTCAGTAATAATTTTGACGTACTGGATTCATATCCTACTTTACATGTCACCATATATATAATCATTAAAGTGAATAACAATTTGTACTGAAATGACATCTTATTTTACATATTTGACGTACCTTCGATTTCGTTAGCCATATAGGCATAAGGCTAAAAAGCAAAAGAAAATCCCAATTACTAGTTCGAAAGATAGTTAAATAAAATAAAAATAAATAAAATACAATGTTTTGAACCTGCGAACGAATGTTTTATTATCAGCCTTCCCCTCGTCTCTTCCGTTTTTTTTTCTATATTTCCTTCTCTTCCACCCTCATGCCAAGTGCCCATGAACTTTGAGGCGATTTAACCCGAGAATGATCTGGTTCCAAAATCACGCGACCATCGGGCAATTGACCATGAGTAAAACTCCAGGCACCATTAGGCTGCTCGGCTGTGATCACGTGAACACCCTACTGAGGATTGCTTGGATCATTGGCCATCACGCAAATGCATTGTGATTTGCACCCCACCCTCCTGTGTATCCGGTCAAGGACGAAGAAAAACCCACGCGACAAACTTTGGGGGACAAAAGTCTAAAAAAAAAAAAAAAAAAAAAAAGGAGGCAGTTTCCTGTCTGCCCGGCAGCAGATGAAGACCGGTAGCGAATCGCTCCGATTCTAAATGGATTGCTCATAGGAATAAAGAAAACAGCAAAGTCTGTTAACTACAGAATGAAAGGGCTACTATATACTAAACCGAATTGACCAATGAATGCCCGTACGCGTCTTCAGAGAAATTGCCAACCAACGAAATATTGTTTTTGCATAAGGACTCGCTACGGTAAATTAAAACTGTGTGGAGATATCAACTTGACTGACCCATCAAAACAGATCAGTTGATTTCCTGGCTTGATCTTGTTATATATATGTATTCGCTCCTATCTTTTGTTCTTTTATAATACCTTTCCTCTTGGTTAGACAAATTATTCTTTTCTTTATTTGTTTCTGTATTTGTAAATAAATATTTCATTTTGAAATCCTTCGTCTTGTGTCTGTTTTTCGTTGACTCCCTTATGTCATTTCCATCCCTGAATAAATACCGAGAAAGGATTACACCTTTTTCTTTTCCTTTTTTTTTTTTTTTTTTTTTTGAACCCGTGATTCAACTATAAGCTACAAGTCCATAACACATGTCACCATATAAAATAATAAATGTGAATAACAGTTTTGACGTAACGTATTGATAACCTATTTTACATGTCACCATGTGATATGTAAAATAGGATATCAGAATTGTTATTCACTTTAATGATTATATATGGTGACATGACATAAATGAAAGGTTAGCAAATTTAGAGACAAGCTTACGAAATATTAATTTTTTAAAAAAAGCACTATAAGTATCACGCAACGATACGAAGTACAAGATATTTGAAAATGCTGAATCTGATATTGCACAGAAAACAAATCTCTTTGATAACGGATTATGAATTTACATTACAAACACTGGACAATTTAAATTTGATTATGTACCAAAAACAAGGAATATGGACCGAAATATAGAATTTTTAAATCATTAACGAAAACTTTCGTTGGTCTTTATACAGACATTTAAATGAAAAATTGCAACACAAATACACCCGGTACATATATATATATATATATATATATATATATATATATATATATATATATATATATATATATATATATATATGAAGAAATATAGTCTTAAGGTATGCTATATTTATGGGATAAAGTGCTCAAT